TATCTGGTTTCCTTGAGTGTATGTTTTTTCCCCTTCCTTTAGTTTTGTTATGAATGTTATCTCCCTTCTTTTCCTTAATTTATTTGCTAGCCATCTCCCTGGTTTGCTTGAATTTTCGAAATAGTCTTGTCTTATAAATTTTAATTGTTTCACCCTCTCTTCTTGTTCTAGGAATTCCCTTTGTTTTTTGTAATCTCTTCAAATTCTTGATAGTATCTCTGTTCTTAGGATTTTTCTTTACATTGGCCTCCTCTTGTGTGATTTCCTTCATTATTTCTTTTTCTTTTATTTTCTTAATTTTATTTTTTATTGCTTTTTGTTGTATGAAGTTGCCACGCATTACTGCTTTGCTTGCCTCCCAAAGAGTGAACGGGTGTGTTTCCTGAGCGTTATTTATGTCGAAATATTCTTTCAGTAGTTTTTGGTTCCTTTCCACATCCTCTTCATTTCTCAGTAAATTGTCATCTAGTCCCCATCTTCTATCCTTCTCTTCTAGTTTTATTTTTATTTCTATTGGACAGTGGTCTGACTCCATTCTTGGTAAGATATTTACTTCTTCAATTTCCATGGTTAATGATCTTGACACCCAGGCCATGTCTATTCTAGACCACGTTTCATGTCTGGCCAAATAGTAAGTATAGTCTTTCTTTCCTTCGTTTCTCCTTCTCCAGATATCTTCTAGACTCATTTCTGACTTTATATTTGTTATCGTTTTTGGTAACATTCCTCCTCTTTTTTTCCATTTTTTCTTCCTTTGTGTTCATTATTGCTTCTGTCCTGAGATGTGTCTATCACGCCATTAAAGTCTCCAATAATGATCAGGTGGTCAAATTCATGGTCACTGATGTGTGTTTTTAGTTTTTCTGCGAATTTTGTTTTGGAATCATTTGGGGCATATATGTTAAACAGTAAGATTCTCTTGCCTTTTATTGTTATTATTACCCCTATAAATCTTCCCTCCTCATCTTTGAATGCTTGGGTTGATGGTATATCTTTATTTATATATGTAACCACCCCCTCTTTTTTTCTGAAGCTGAAGAATAGTATGCCTTCCCTTTGGGGGTCTAGGTATTTGTTGTCTAGGTGTGCTATATGCTTCTGCGCAACGTGGGTTTCTTGAAAGGCAATCACATGATACCGGTTTTTTTTATCCTGTTGAATACTTTATTTCTTTTATTTTTACAGTTAAAACCATTAATATTATTTGAGTAATTTTTTATAAAATCCAGTGTTGTTTAGATGCTTTTTTGGCTGTGTTGTTAGTTTCTTTCTTCTTCTGTCTTTTCTTCTTGCTCTCCTCCTCCTTCTCTTGCCTTTTCTTCTTCTTCTTCTTCTTATTCTTCGGCCTCTTCTTCCACTTTGTTTAGATTCGTTGTGTCTATTGCTCTTCCTAAGTCCATTTTGTAGTTCCCCTTGTCTAGATCTTCCTTCTCCGGTGAATCTGTACGGGCTCTTTTTCTTTCCTTCTCTCCCTTTGTTCTATACTCCATTTTTCCTTCTCTTTCTTTTATAATCCTTTTTAGAAAATCCTTTGCTATTTCTTCATCTGTGATCCAGTGTTTCTGTTCCTGGTATGTTGCCATTAGGCCTTCTCCTCTTTCCCAACGGAAATGTATTTTCTGCCTTTTTAGTTCTTCCACAAGTGGTGTGTATTTTTTCCTTCTGCTCAGTACTGCTCCTGGTATTTCCTTCAGTATTATAACCTTCTTGCCCTTGTAAGAAACTGTTCTTTTGCTACTTGCCTTTAATATCTCGTCTCTTTGGATCTTCTTAACAAAATGGACTAACACGTCTCTCGCGGTTCTGTTCCTTCTCGCAAAGTTGGTATTGATTCTATGTATTCTATCTGTCTGATCCTCAATTTCCTGTTGTGTCTTTTCCATGAGTTCTCCCAGGATCTCCTTTACCTTTTCCCTTATGTTCTCCCCTTGCTCTTCCTGAATGTTCCTTAGTCTTAGTTGAAATTCCATCTCTTTTGTTTCTGTGTGTAGTTGTTTTTCTTCTAGTCTTTCTTTTTCCAGGTGCAGTATCTTTATCTTTCTTTCTAAGCTTTCTTGCGTTTTTTGCATTTCCTTCTTTTCTATTTTCAGGCTTTTGATCTCACTTTGTAGCAACACTATTTCTGTCTTCATTCCTTTATTTTCCTCTTTTATCTCTTTCAGACTTTGTGCTTGACCCTGTGTTGTTTTCTGGTGTTTTTCCTGATTCTCTTTCACTGTTTGGAGCTCTTTAATAATCTCCTTTAGCATTTCCCTCACGCTTGGTTCTTCTGAGACTGAGCCCTTTCTTGTTGTTCCTTTGTTTTCTTTTGCCTCTTTTATCTCTTTTATCTTCGGTGTCAGGGTCGCCATCTCCTCTTTCCTTTCCTTTATATTCTTTTAGATGTTGGATGGAGGCCTTCCTCAATATTCCTTTAAAGTGATCTGTGGGTGGTTAATAGTTTACTTTGTTTTAGTATTGTCTATATGGAGTTTCCCCCCTCTGTAGAAGCAAATTGGTTGAGGACAGCAATATAATTCTCTAGATGGACACGTTGTTTTTGTTATTGTTATTCTTTGTCTTTGCGTTTACTTTTATTTGTTTTATTTATTTGATTAATTATTTGATTGTTATATTTTGTCCAATTATGCTCTGATTGATTTGTTTATTTGGGTGTTTCTTATTTTCTTACTTGCTCTTGCCTTTTTTTTATTTTTTTATTATTATTATTAAAATATTTATTATTATTATTATTTATTTTATTATTATTTTTAATTTTGTTTTGTTTATTTATTTATTTGGTTTTTATTTATTTATTTTCCCCGCTATATTTTTCTGCTACCTGTTTCCTTCTTCACTTTCTCCTTTTCCCCATCATTTCTTCTGCCTCCCGATTCTTAAATCCCGCTTTTCACTCTTCTTCTCGCTTTTCGCTTTTCTCTGGCCTCCTGGCTCCTCTTTCTTGTCTCTTATTCTCTCCTCGCTATTTCTCTTTGTTTACTTCCTGCTTTTCCTCCCGTTCTCTTTCTCACGGTTTTCTACGGTGTTTGCAACTTCTCGCGCTTTGCTTCTCCTTCTCGTGTCTTCTCGCGATGTTTCGGGCTTCACGCGATGTTTTGCGTTACTTCCTGCTTCCTCGCCATGCGCTTCCCCCGCAGGACCTCGCCTGTCTTCTCTCTGCCGTCTCCTCCCTCCTCTCTCTCACCTTCCTCCGCCCACCTTTGCTCACCTCCTCGCCAAAGACACAACAATGGTGGTTTCCAAGGTCAGTTCCTTCTTCCTTATCTTTCTGGTTAACTTTCTAGTTAACTCTTTAGTTAGCTCTTTAGGCTCTCTTCCTCTCTTTCCTTTTTTTTAACTTGTCCACTTTCTTACATTTATTGCCTTTATTCTGCTTAAATTGCCGGTTGTATTCTTTATCTTCTCTTATTTAATACATGAAATGTATTATTTTTCTGTTGTCTGTCTGCTTGTTGTCTTTCTATTATTAATCTTCGCTTTTGGTTTAGATAATTAGATAGATAAATATCCCTTTGGGCTTTATGCTCCAATTTTGCCCTTCTTTTCTGTCTTCTTTATTCCCTTATTCCCTTATTCTCGGTTGCCAGAGTTTTCCGACTCGGCGTTTCATTGTTTTAGCTGTCTGCTTTGATCTAATTTTGTTATTAATGCTGAGGGAGCTTTCTTCAACTCCTTTCAATATCCTTTTTTTTAACTTACATTTCTTTCTTCTTTCTTCTTCTATTTCCTGGTGGTTAAAAAGGTGCGCCGATCAGGAATTAGCAGGGAATGCTTTCCCTGTTGGCTCATCCGCAGCCCGCCGTACCTGGGTGGACGTTGCCAGACCCTTTGGGGGTCTCCTCTTGAGGAGAAGACCCACTTAGGGACGTCGGCCGAACCACCTGCGGTTTCACAGTTCCCCCGCTTCGATCCACAAAGGGGAAGGGAGCTTTTGCTCTACCCAGCTGCTTGGATTGAGCCGGCGCCTCACGGAGCTGTAAAGCGCCTGTCTTCCCGCCATGATGCGCACCCGGAAGTCCATTTTGGAGTCTGGTTTTCAACAGCAAGATGACCTTCTTTCTAGAGTACTTTAATGGTGTTGGACTAAATGGTCCCTGGAATCCCTTCTAACACAAAAATATCTATCCTCCAGCTATAGGGAACCTACCTGTTGCTTGGCAGTCCCTCTTCTTCTTTCTGTGCCATGTGATTGAGAGAAGAGAGAAGGGAAAGGACACCCTCTCTCTTCCCCAAAGATCCTCTTTGATCAGTCACCCTATTGCTCTTGCAGCCGACACTGACAGGGACAGAGGGGACAGCCATCCCAAGTCCCCAGGTCACATGAACCCAGAAAGCATGCAATGGATGTTGGGAAATCCATAGCCAATTCTGCATGAGAACTACTGCCAGAACTCTGGGGAAAGCCTGAATCCTGGTGTGGTGTTTGGTTTTCCTGAGTGATTTATCCAGGGTACAACCATATAAACAGCTTTTCTCAA